TTAATCTCGGGCTCGCCACACACCGCATGCCCCTCGTGGCGGCCACTGGCACAACGGACGGAAAGGCTGCACCGCCACAAGGTGCCCAGGGCCAGTCCCCACTGCCACCCTGCCCTGGCTGTCCCCAGCCCGACTCCCACCAGCCCACACCTCCCACCCGCGCTCACCACCCAACTGCAACTGACAGAATGACCCCATGGCTCTCCCTCGCCTGCTCAAACCTCGCTGGACAGTCACTCTTCCAGTCAGGGGACCCTGCCTTTCCTCTCGTCTCCACTCACTGCTCTGCTGGGCCAAGCTCTCCATGCTTTCACCATCCCCACTCACCCTCCCTTTCTGCCCCGTTCAGGCTGTCCCTCCACAGCTCACACTTGCCATCTCCTCTGGGCCTTGTCCCTTTCCTAATGTTCCCTTTGCTCCCCCCTCCCATTTCCCCACTGCAGGCACTGGACCCTACCTGCTCTCCCTGGTGCTGCTGGATGAGACAGCTGATCTCTTTCTGCTCCTGTGCTTCCAGCTTCCTCACAAAGAAGAGCAGCTCCCACCATTCGGCACGGCTCAGTGTCTCTGCAGCCTTGGGCAGCTGCTGCCCTAGGTAAGGCAGGGAGTACAGCCCCCCCAAGGGCTTGCACAGAAATGGCTGTGGAACTGCAGGGGAGGACAGCAAGGAAGGGTACTGTCAGCTCTGCCAGATCCCCCATCCTCTGCTGCACACTCCTCATTCCCAAGGAAAGAACTCATGCTGGGCAGAAGAGCTCCCCACCGTAGCTCCCCATAGCTTGCTGGGAGACAGGAAGGTGACAGAAGGGCAGTGGAAGAGTTGGAACATGAAGGAGACTGATGGGCTACTCACCTGCTCTCAGTCTGTGGTTTCCAGTCAGGTTGTTCACTTTCTCCTGGCCGTCAAGCTCCTTTTGTTCTGAAGGGCCAATGATCTCGACCATGTGCCAATGAACCCAGTACATACAGCCCAGCGCTTGCCAGTACACCTGAGGAGAGCCCAACACACACCCAGCTGGGGGAAGGCAAGCCCAACCCCACTGTCCCCATGCAAGGCTGCACAGGAGAGCAGAGAGGTTCCTTGGCAGCGCCTGCTCCCCCAGCAGTGATACCTGCACCGGGGGCATGCTGTCGTTGCTGCGGCAGAACTCTCCCTCATCACCAGCGCTGACCTGCTCGTAGTCCTCCAGCATGCGCACCCTCATGCCGCTCACCAGCGTGGCCTGCACGTACTCCACATAACTGCTGCGGCTCGGGAAAGCCGAGCGCGTCTTGAAGGTCATGGGTTCCTTTGCTGGGGACATGGGGGCTGCTTTGGCAGCAGTTCTGGGCAGGGTCTTGTGCTGGAAAATGGAGGGGGCAGGGCGAGGCTGCAGGTCCCCTTGGGGCAGCGGCTTTGCCTTGTGGCTGAGGCTCCAGCCCATCACGTGCACCAGCTCCGAGATGAGGTTTGCCATGGCCATGCTGAACTCAAACTCCTGCTTCACACGGCTCCTCTCCTCAGGGACAGGGCTGGGCACAGCACAGCCCTGCTGCTCCTCTCCCTGCTCCACGCCACTGCTCAGCTTGTCCAGGAGACAAGTCACACACAGGTAGCGCTTCACCAGGATGAACAGCTGCTTCCCGGGGACCTGCAACGAGCACAGCTCTCACACTCAGCCTGCAGAGGTCCTCCAGCCCCCAGCTCTCTCTGAGCCACCAGCTCATTCCCAGGCAGGCTCCTGTGAGAGCTCCAGACCAGCTGGCAGCAGCACAGACTTCCCAGCCCAGTCTCCCCTCCCTGCTGGCAGACCAGGCTCTCCAGGTGCCTCTGCACCACCCCCAGCCTCTCACAAGGCCAAGGTCCTGAGCCAACTCTCCCAACAGCCAGTCCTGCTCACCTGCCCACCTTCAACTCCCCTCTTATCCTGGACAAGGGTGCCAGCCCTGGCCCCCTACTCCCACTCCCTGCTGGCCCCTCCTGCTCCACAGGCCAGGTGGTGGGTCTGTCACTACCTGCGGGAGGTGAATCCCTTCAAAGGACATGCAGTGCTCTGCAGAGGACGTGATCTCAGCAAACAGCTCCAGCAAGGTGCAGCGACTGTCAAAGTCCATGTGCTGCTCGATGCCATCCTGCTGGCTCAGGGACAGCAGGACGTAGGCCCAGCTTTCTGCAACAACAACAAAAACTCTTCAGGCCCCAGAAAGACAATCCTCACCCCACTCTCCCTTCGAGAGACAGAGCTGCAGGGCTGCAGGGAAGGAACAGCTTTGCTGCTCCGTGTCACCTGATCCATCTTCTGTCCCTTCCTCTGGAGTAGCAACATTTTGCTCCGTGGGGTATTTTTTCTACCCCTAAGCTAAGATTCTCACAAAGCAGCAACCCCAGATAACTGACTCCAGTACAGGGTCCCAGGGAAGCCAAGTTTTAATCTGAATCAGGCCTCATCTGCCCCACTTCAGAGCTGCAAGAACTCAGGCACTAGGACAGGGAAAAACAGATCTCCTGTGGGATCCCCCACAACCAGGAAACTTCCAGGTGCACCCAAGTCTCATTAAGCACTTCCAAGCCATGGCAGCGCCTCTTAAATGAGAGAACTGGGTGAGGACCAGTCTGTACCCACCAGGGCTGTGTTAAGCCCTTTGGGACTGGTCTTCATTGCAAGGGTATGTGGAAGGAGATTGTCTGCTCCTCTAAGTGTATCCAGTCTTATCCTTTTCACTGCAAAAAGTCAAAGTAAGAAGGAAGCCATAAACAAGAACATAAAGATTCACAAACCTGACTGACAAATGCTAATAGATGCAGTAAGGAGAAACAAATCTGGTCAGTCACAACAATTAGTAAGGACATCTGGCATGTGAGAATAATTATTTTTCAGTAAGATTATCTGATTATTTGTAATTGGCAAGGAACACAAAAGGACGTGCAGAGAAAGGGATATGAAAGAAGCTATTCATGTTTAAACCATGGCTGGTCAGTGTGTTTGTCTGACACAACTTGTCCTCCTTTCTTACTGAATCTTTACTAAGTTTCTCTCTACCCTGTGTGTGTGTGTGCTGCAAGGACTGAGTGCCAGCTGCTGATGCGACCTGCATGAGAGGCATTTGGTACCACGAACTGGAGCCTTACTGGAGGTGTGGGAGCCCTGTGGAGTCAGTCAGTGGAGTGAGTGACAGTTGGAGGTGCCATCACTCTCTGGATCAAATCACAGATTTCAGCTTGGAATGCCAGTTATCAGGAAGACTGGTGTACAGCTGACCCGGACCAAATGACTCAGTTCTGATCAGGGGTGTAAGAGTCTCTGGCCTGACGTGCCGGCTACTGGGGCAAAGTGCAAGGATCTCTCCAGTGCTAGTGCCTAGAGTTGGCAGGATCCTGAGTCATCAGCCACTGGGGAGAGAACAGTGTGTGTTCTGAAGAACAGCTGCTGGAAGGGAGGAAAGTGAGGAGTTAAGCAACAGCAGCTGAAGTAGGACTGTAGTGTCTAGGGCCAGGGGAAGAGTGAGTGTCTGCATCCTTCCCAACCCTGCTGTGCATGTAATTCATTAGGAAAACTTCATGCTGGAATAGCAAGGAGGAGGTATGAGGACCAGACCAAGGTATGAGGTGGGTGGTGGTTGGTGCTGGAAGTCCCAAGAGATGTGTAAACGTGGACTTTGGAATAACAGTGCTCCAGGTTTACTAGCAAGCATCAGTCTTGACAAACTGATGAGCAGGGAGGTCTCCGAGGGTAGAGGGGCTTTGATCCAGGCATGGGTGCAGGACAGAGGGGCCATGCTGATACCCAAGGGATCCATGAATGTTTGTGCACTTGTGAGCCTGGAGAATGCAGTGTGTGCTGGCAGGAGCTGACTCTGCCAGACAAAGAGCAAGAGGGGACATGGCTGACTGTGCTTTTGTTTATGTGAGTGCTCTAAGTACGTGCTGTCAGAGTCCAGCATGTGTCTGTGCTCCAGGATGGGCACTCAGCTTAGCTACTGGTTGAACCTGCAAATGGGAAAGTGGAAGCTGCATCTTTCAGCTTGAGAAACTCCAGATTCCCCAGGCTGGGCTCCAGCAGTGGAGCAGGAGAGGTGCTGGGGCAGCTAGAGGAGACAGCCACCCCTAACACTCCTTAACACTCCTAACAGTTAATCAGCATCCCAGCTCAGAAACCTGGCAGGGGAAAGAGCTTCTAACTCCAAGAGCAGTCCAGACAACTGCAACCAAGGAAGTCTGGAAGACCCAGACTGATTCTTCTCCTCTTGCCAAGAAGCCTCATAACATGCTGCTTCCCAGCATGTCCCATCACCCCTCCCAAAGGCCTGGCACCAGCAACACCTCCTCAGTGATACTGAGCAGGAGCAGCCCCCACCTGCATCGTGTGCACCCAGAGCACGCAGCATCTGGTCTGCACTGCGGCGGATCTGCTTCTCCTTGTGGCACAGCATCGTCGTCAGCAGGTTGAGGGCTCCCGTCTCTCTGAAAGCACCCGCCAGGGAGCCAATGCTGGCATAGGCGCCCAGCACGTGCACTGTGCTCAGGATAGAGCACTCGGGTGTCCCGGCCTCAGCCACCTGGCGCCTGGCTCGCTGCACCAGGCTCCTGACATCGGCCTTCATCTCCAGCAGTGAGGCTTCGTCCAGCGAGGCTTTGTCTGACGGAACGGGCACCGGCACCTTCTCCTCTTTCAGCCACGGCCCTTTCAGCCTCCTCTGGTCCAGCAGCATCGGGCAGCTGGCACACACCTCCTCTGCAGACATCCACATGGAGATGTTCTCTGTCTTGGTCTCTACAGAGGAGGCACTGCTGCCTCCCGCTGCTCTCTCTTCCGAGCTAATGACGCTCCACCGGACCAAGTATTCTGGCCGGCCGGCATGGCCTTGCCGCTGCCGGAGCAGCTCCTTTGGGTAGGCCTGCAGTTTGGGCCCCAGCTGCACAAGCACAGTGCCATTGTGCTTCTCATTCACCATGGCAGCAGATGTGTCTGCAGAGACAGAGGGGAAGCAGGAGCTGGGGAGAGGTGGCTGAGGCATGCTATGGCTAGAGATCCATGTTCCTGTGTGTCACAGTGCTGGTGATATGGCAATGCAACCATTAAAATGTGCTTTTGTACTGGTTGTACTCAAGGACCGTGCTGTAAACTTCTAATACAGCAAGTATGAGATATGGCTCACTTTCTCCTTGGAAAGCCACATATATGTAGTTGCAAGGTAATAGGGCAAAACACAGTGATTTCTCGACTGTCAAACAGACTGTGAGCATGGCAAGAATATGAACAGCAGTGCCCAGGAAGGGCAGCTTTCCCCAGGAAACTCAGCTATAACACCTGGCTGCGTGCTTATAGAGTAAAACCCACATGCTAGATCAGGGAGCCAGTGCAAGTCTGCGCTGGAGGGCTCCACTGCACATCACCCAGGCGGGGCTGGGACACGGTGAGGGACAGGCCTGTGCCCGGGCACACACACTAAAAGCAGGCGGCATGGCACTGCCAACCCCGTGGAGAGGGCCGCGCCAGAGGCAGCACCAAAGCTCCTTCCAGGCGCGGGCCAAGCGAGAGCTCGCCGAGCACTAAGCACCGGACCTGGCCCAGTTCGGCCGCAGTACCCCTGCCCCGGCTGGCCAGGAGCCGCGACTGAGGCCTCCCCTGAACGGCCCGAGCCCGTCCCGGACCAGCTCCGCTCGGGCCGCTTGCCGGGTGCGTAGGGCCCGCCGCCCTCCCGGGGCCGCCACGTTACCTCCAGCACCGCTCCCGCGCCGCTCCGGCCGCAGGCGCCTGCGCAGACCCCGCCCGACGGCGGCCGTGAGGGCTGGGCCTGGGCGGTCGGCACCGGGGAGCTCGGACGAGCGCTGCGGGACCGGCTCCAGCGCTCGGGGCTGAATGAGGCACAGGGAGGCACTCGGGGGCAGAGGGACGGGGCAGCGTGGGACAGGGAAGGCGGCGAGGGAAGGACACAGCAGCGGCCAGTGGCAGAAGTAGGGCCAGGGAGCAGTGAGGTGCTGAGGGGTGTAATTCCCAACTTCCCAGTCACCGTGATTGGAAGCCATCTTCCCATCCGCTTCACTGCTCCAGAGGCTGAGGGTGAGAGAACAGCTAGGGTGTCCTACAGCTATGTTTGACACGACTGTGCCAATTGACTGCACCGAGTCGCCCACCAACCTCAAACTCACGCCAAGGCAGTCCGCAGCCCCACACTCATCAATCCCACCAATCCCACTCCTGCCAGGGACTGAACACAGCAGAACTTACCCGTGGGAAGTGAGGAAAGGCCCTATGCATAAAAGGCATCACTAATGCAACAGCAGTGGCATGCAAAATGCTTTATTGACCGCAGGCATCACTCCACTGCTTTGACTCGTGGCAGGTTGACATAGCTTTTCATGGGCGGAATAGGCTTGATCTTGCGCCCGGCCCAGCCACCCTTGCGATGCCACAAGCCCGTGTGTGGGCGCTTGCCCAGCCAGCGGTTCCGGCCTGCCTTCCCGATCACCCTTTTGTTGTGATCCACATTGGACACACGGCCTACTGTGGCCACACAGGTCTCCAGCACCTAGGGGACAGAGAAGAGCTGCAGCCCTCCCTGGGGACACACGGCTGCGTGCCCAGGCAGTTGAGCCAGGGACAGCACAGCTCCTTTACCTGCATATGCCGTTTGGAAGGCAGCTGCACGATGGCTGTCCCATTCACTTTCCTCAACAGCACCCCACAAGTACCTGCAGCAGGCAAGAGAGGAGGCAGCTGCCTTGATCAGCAGGACAAAGTATCCCAACCCTGTAACGAGTACATCCCTATGCTGTTAAATCTCCAAAGACCCCCCACTGTTGTACTAAATGCAGCCCTTCTTGCTGAAGATAGGGCCTTGAGGAATCAACAGGGCAGAACTGCCCCTGCTTTTCTGGAGGGATGTGTTGCACTCTAACATGAAGAGAAGATGGCAACTCCCTGTCACTGGCCACCCAGAGCAGTGCCCCCCTGCCCTCCTCTCCACCTGTGCTCAGGCAAACCCGTACAGTGAGTTTCCTGTGTGGGGACGCACCAGCTGCCCGGATGTACTGCGCTCCCTTCCCAGGGTGGCTCTCCAGGTTGCAGATCAGCGTGCCGACAGGCAAAGCTCCTAGTGGGTATGCATCCCCTTCGCCGGCTGACACTGGAAGACAGAAGCTGACAAGTTAGGCAAGGAACAGCCGACGAGCCCTTGGCAAGACCGGCATAGCTCCCCATGGCCCTGGCGTGCACCTGCCATCCTGCCAATGTGAGGCGAGTTTGTGATGCTGTCCCCTGGCTGCATGTTCTCCGTGGCAATGATCCAGCGCTTGCGATTGCCGCCGGCCACCAGGGCGATGTCAGCCGATCTGCACGGAGAACCCGCGGCGGGTGAGCAGGGGGCCACGGCAGGCGCGACTGCCTGGGCCCGGGGCCGAGCACGCACCCCGCACTCGCCTGCAAGGGTCGTATCGGACGCTGACGACCTTCTCGGTGAAGGGCTCCGGCAAGGCTCCCTCCTCGTAGCGCAGGCGCTGGAAGTCGATCATGCGGTAGCGCCGCTTATGTCCCCCGCCGATTCCCCGCACGCGGATGCGGCCTGCGGGACATGGGAGCGTCTGCAGGCAGGACTCCCGCGCCCAGCCGGCCCCGGCAGCCCGCCCGCGCCCGCCCGCCCACCCACCTGTGTGGTCGCGGCCACCCGTCTTCTTCATGCCGACGGGTCGCACGGTGTACTTGGTCCGGCACTTCCACAGTGGGTCGGTGGTACAGCGCGGCGCCGAGCCGCCCAGCTCGCGGCAGGCGGCAGGCGCAGACACCGGCCCCGGCAGGCAGGGCTGGGGGATAGGCGGCAGCGCTGGGGGCCGGGCCCGGCGGGAGCCCGCCGACAGCAGGAGCGCCCCGAAGGCGCGACAGAGGCCCAGCGCTGCCATGGCCGCGGGAAGGCGCCGCCGGACGGGGCGGGGCCGCCGCGGGCCTCAGCTGGGGTCGGCAGGTGGCGCGCTCTCGCCGGCGGGGAGGAGGCGGCGGCCATCTTGGATTTAAAGGGGCTGCGGCGCTGAGAGGGCGGGTGGTGCCGGCTGAGGGTCTCGCCCCGCCCCCGCCGGGACCAGGACAGCGACCGAGATCGCTATCGAGGTCTTGCGCCGAGCAGGTTGGACGGGTGGGGTTACGGGGGCTTGGTCGCTTCCCTCGGCGGCCCTGGCCGGAGGTGGGGAGGACACACGGAGCCCAGCAGCGCAGGCCGGAGCGGAGGCGGCCTTCCCGGGGCGACGCTGCCCCGCCGGCCGCGGCGGGCGGTGGGACCCTCATGGGGAGCTGGGGAGGTCCCTGTGGTAGGGCTGGGGCTGGCGTGGCTCGGAGACCGTCCTAGTGCGCCCTGGCTCCTGGGGCCAGCGGAACGAGCAGGGGCGAGGGCAGCATTCGGGCCGTGCCCACCGTGCCCGGATTTGGCGGGGTTGGCGCTGAGGGCGCTGCCGGCTCTGCGGACTTTGGAGCCGGCGAGGTGCGCCCTGCGGCAGCAGCCCCCTCCAGCACCGGGGGAGCCGCTGGCTCGGAAGCCCTGCCGGTGTTCGCTTTTCTCGGGCAGCTCCCGGTACGCTGGCTTAGTGCGCCTGGCCTCCCCGCGGGCAGGGCCGACTGCCACGCAGGGACGGCCAGGAGCCCCCGAGGGAGGAGCGGAGTGTGTGTATGGCAACTGTGGGTCAGCCCGAAGTCCTGGTCATGGTTGTTTCCACGGTGCTGTGCACACAGATTGCGGGATTCACTGCTCTATAATTAGTCTGTGTCTTCATTGCCAGTAATGGCTTTCACTGTAACGCAAATAATGTATGTTTGCACTCCTGCTGTGTAACTTATGTGACATGTAAGTGTGCCACGGCTGTATGTACCCCACAACCAGCCCGGTTTGCCTTCCAGAACTAGGGAACAGAGGACAGTAAGGTTTAGGAAAGAAATATGTGTTGTGAGATGAGGCAAGCGAGAACCCGAGTGTCAGCATGGCTGGGCTGTTCCTCCTGGGGCACCTGAACCCCTTCCCCTTCTGGGGGAATCCATGAGGGACAGGAAGACTAGTGCGTTATTGGCTCAGGCAGATATAGGTAGCTGGGGACATCGTAGGGAGCACCATGACAGTTGTGTGTTACCGTGGATGGGATGGCTGTAGTGACAATCCAAGCTGGATCCTGTGCCGTTGTCTTCTTTTTGAGAAGAGCAAAGACTGAACAAGTACTTCCCAGCAGTACCCAGGCCAGCCCCACACTGCACAGTGTGGACACAACAGGGCTCCAGCCTTCCCAGATCTCCTGTGTCTGGCCATTGCTGTGGGCACAGCGATAGCAGCCACGCAGCTGGAGCGCTCTCTGCCCCTACACCAGCTTGGCTTTAGGGGCTGGGATGGGGTCAGCACTGGGGACACAAGCGAGGGGACACCAAACAGGATGTAAAACCTTCCGCCACAGGATGGAGGGTGCGATGGAACGGGGCTTTGGCGGGCTGAACAGGAGCCCGATGGTGGCCAGTGCTCCTTGGGCAGCATTTGGCGGCACTGCGGGGGCTCGGCCCTGGTCCTGGGCGCTCCCGTGAATCCCTGAGGAGGGAGCTGTGAGCTTGGCGTGCATGGCGCTTTCTGCGCTCCCAGGAGAGCGTCCAACCGTCCTGTTTCCGGAGCCTGTCCGCATCCCTCCCCTCCCCCTGCCGCAGTGTGGTTGGCTGCCGAGCGCCGGGTGCCTGCGCCGCCGCTCGCTCCCGGGGCAGCGCGGCACACGGAGCCGCGCTGCGACGCGGCCGCCTCTCCTCCGCCGCCTCCGCGAGCACCGGCGCTGGACAAGCCGCTGCAGGCAGCCAGGTACCGCTCCTCTTCAGTGTGGGGCGGGGGACATTCCCATCCAGTGACTGAGACGGGCAGAGTGCCCAGCCATCCTGGAACAAAGGACCGCTTTGATATGCAGTTTGGGGCAGAGCTGATGAAAACTTTTTTTTTCCCTTGTGAAGCTTTCACTTAGCCAGGTGGGCGCAGAATTTATCTGTGGTGGTTCTGGGGGGTGAAGGGGTTTCTCTGGCTTGTTTGTTTCAAGGATACGCAGCGGGCGTGCCCTTCTGCTACCAGACAAAGCCAGAGAAACGATGACGGAGGCAGGTCATACAGCAGTAGCTCTCAAAGAGCCTTGTTTCACCCCAAACCGTCTTTTCATTAGTTAACTGCTTCCTAAGCTTTTCCGGAGTGGAGGTGCACCCTATCAAGGGTGGTGGGCTGGGGGAATCGCTGGTAAGCTTCTGTGAAGGAGAGGATGCGCTTGGGAGGAGGTGTCTGAAGAAGAGCTGGGGGATGGTGTTGCGGTAGAATGGTCTGGCCAGGCAGCCGGGAGAAATCTGCACAATGGTGGGAGGCAGCAGCACATTACCGCAAACAGCAGGCTTTCCAGCGCCTTGCATAGCTGGCATCTGCCACTCTGCTGCAGTTCCATGCTCGGCTCTCCTCTAGTGCCCTTGGTCTCCTCTCTGCCATGCCACCTTGGAGATATGGAAAACAGCCACCCCTGCCTGTGCTTATGGGGAAAGAGGGTGGTGTTCAGCACACATCAGGTCAAAGATCTGGCCAGCTCAGACACAGGGTAAATAAACATGGCTGTGCTTTGCCGTAATTGGCAGAAAGAGCAGGAAGCATGTGTTCCCTCATCTGCTGTTTGGGAGCAATGTCCAGGTTGAAACAACAGCATTAACTCCCAAATACCAAAATGGCTCTCGGGGCACAAAGGACACGTGGCAAGATTCTGAGTTTTGGCAGAGTTGCTGGATCAATGCTTAATTTGCTGTGCAAGAGCCACGTAGCTCCTCAAAGAGCTCGAGCCAGAGATAGAACAGATCGTCTGCTTGTTATGCAGGTAGAGGTTTGTCCCTGTGACTTTGCCTGCCTCACCGTGTTTTACAAACCTGTTTGCTTCTGGAAGTAGTAGCAGCCTGCAGCCGGCTGGTCTTTGTGGGTGCCTCAGGTACACCATGGAGGGAGTGTGGGCTCACCAAAGCCCTTCAGGGCACACTGAGTGGGTCCAGAGCTCCTGCTGGTCCTATCTGCATCCTGGTTATCTCCTGTACTGCTCAGGCACATCCAGTGCATAGCCTTCACATTAGACAGATGCCTGCAAGGGCACTGACACCTGGGAATTACTCTGCCTGCTTTAATACTGCTTCATGCTGTCAGGGCAAGGTAATGGCTCTTGCTCTGTTTTTTATAGTGTGAGACTCCCAATCAGATTCTGAAGCTGGGAAGAGATGCTTACCCTGGCTCCGTTCCAGCTGCTTAGCTCTTGTCTCCACTAGCCTGGAAACATGTTTTAATGGTGTTTTGCTGTAGTCCCAGGCGCAGCAGATGCAGAATGGATTTGGTGAGCTGCTGCAGACATGAACAAGTTTAAAAACATGGTCTTATCAGTTGATCTGGAGGTGCCAGCATAAGCTTGCCTGGTGGGAGTGGTGAGGACTTCTGTTCTCATTCCAATGGTCTGCTGGAAGGGGCAGGTTTTCCCAGACAGCTGGGATTGTAAACAATATGATGAACAACCGGAGCAAAGTAGTTTTCTGCTAATGGCAAAAAATCGGTGCTTTTTTTTTGTTTGTTTGTTTGTTTGGTTTTGTTGGTTGTTTTATTGGGATTTTTTTTCACCCTTGTTGATTCCAATATCTAATAACAAATGGAGTGAGACCTTTCTGGTCTTTAAGGAATGAATGATCTGATGCAAAGCCAACCAGACTACCTGCTCTGTCTTCCTCAGAGTACATATCCATACTGGAATTGGATGATGCTTTAATAATACAGGAATTGCTTGCTCTGGTCAATCAGAACACCTTTTGTCTTGTCCATTTCCAGCTGCAGGCTGAAAGGTTGGAGGGGTATGGGAAGCTCCCGTGTTCTTTCTGTTGTGGTGTGAACATGAGTCACTGTGGCCAAGTCCTTGTAAAGCCACCTTATCACCACCTTGCCCTGGGTTTCAGGAGGGTTAAGTTACATCATGTGTTATATTAGAGATTGTGGGTGGTAGGGCGCTGAAGCTTGTGGGACAGAGAGGAGTGTTAGGAGGCTCCCTTCATGCTCTTTCCCTTCATCTCCGGTCTCCTTGAGGTAGAGCCCTTCTGCTTGAGCTACAAGCCTAGTCCTTAGTTCCTTAGTCCTGGTCCCCTGAGCCTCTTGAAGCCTGCTGGTTAGCACAGACATTCCCAACACAAGCCTTCCAATATCTAGAAGAAAACCCCAGAGCTTCACAGTCAGCTAGAGCTGGCATGTGTCAGCTGCTGAAAGAAGCAATCCTGGCCATGATCCCTGGACAGCCCTCCCTATCCCCCAGACAGGGATCAAGGCACATCAACAGCAGTCATCTTGTACTCTGTTATAAATGACTCTGAGGATTGGGGAAACTGGTTGGGTGAAGTCTTTCTGGGCTTGGAGACTGGCTTCAAAGCTGTGTGAGAAGATGTCTGGATGCCAAGGAGAGTCTTGGTTTTGGGGCATAGGGGAATGTGAGACAACTTCTTGCCTTCACTGCATGGTGTGTTGTTGCAGGTGGATTGCTTTGGGAATCCAAAAATCCTTGCAGGACCTTGCTGGAAGGAAGCAGGCACTTCATTCTCTTTCTCTGGCACCTGGATCCATTTTATAGTGCAGTGATGCCTTGCTCCTTTGTCCTGAAGAGGCGTTCTCTAAAGGCAAATGCATTGAGTTTATCTGAGGAATTCACATGGAGATTTTTTTTTTCTTCCCTTCTTTTTTCTCCCACAAGAAGATGGTTAAGTCATGGTACAGGGGTCTGAAGAGTTTGTGGGATTTCTGTTATGGGAGATGGTCCTTTAGCTAAACGCAGATACCTGATGAGATACCTGCTTTGAGTGAGGGAATGGCCCAAAAACCTCTAAGCATTCATTCCGAGTAATACTCAAGCCAGACTCTTACTGAGGGAAAAGTTACAGAACAACAGTCCCTCTATAGTTCTTGAAGTTATCTGTGTGTTGATTTAACTCTCTAGACTGTCTGCAGTGTGGGAAAGGTCCAGGCTGGAGGCTGGCATTGGGGAAGAACTTTGAGCAGAAGATGGGACTCTAGGTGTCCCCATTTTTGGCAACAGGGTGTAGAAACTTATGAGAACTGGTGGCAGAGAATGTACGGACATTAGAGTTTGAGTGACATCTTTTGACTCTACAGTTGCAGCTCAGAGATATATTGGGTATGACCTCCCAGGATGCTGACTCCTTCCTGACTGATGTCTTCTTTGTGCGTTCTTAGTGGCTCTAAGGGAGCATCCAGTCATTTCTGGCTATGGTAATAGGCATCACAGATCACCATTCCTGCTCTGTGCCTCACATGAACCTCAGCATTTCTTGTTTTGCCTGTATTAGAGCAGCTCTGAAATACCAAATTGGATGTGGAGCTCAGCAGCACCGGTTTGTCTCTTTTCTGTTGTTCTGCTCCAGGTGACCTGGGGTGGTGACCCTGAGCACAGTGGCTCTTCTAGCAGTGGTGTGCAGGTGTTCCTGCAGTGGTGGTGTCAGTGTGTGCTGGCTGTGCAGTGGAAGCCTCGGAGACTCTGCACAGCTGACTGTAATCTATAATCTGTGTGCTTTCTGACACTTTAGTATCAAAATAAGAAAATTTGTGCTCATGACACGGCCTCTGTGATGGGTGTAACTTTGTCACTCTGCTTTTATTTTATTTTTCAGCATCCAAAGTATTAGGCCTGGGTTTTGTTGCAGTGTCCTTTAAGAGTGAAGACTCACTGTCTTACTTGCAGTCTCACTTCTAGCTTCTAGGTCAACCAGTCATTCCAGAGACCCTTTGTTGCTCAACAGTAATGAGCTGGCAGAGGTCCAAGGAAAAACAAACAAAACAAAAAACCCTTCCTGCTTTTATCAAGTCATTTTGCTTCCCAAATATATAATCTTGCTGTTTCTCCAGGTAGCAAAAGCATGTCTCACAGGAGGAGACTGGGATAATTATGTTGAAGCAAGTCAAAGCTCTGTGTTTCCATTTCTAAATGGAAGCCATTGCTGTCTATCTTCCAAATGTGGTCATTTGTTCTTACTGTGGGTCAGACTTACTCTTTTCCACAGGAAGCTTTTTTCCAGAATCCGGGTGTCTTTCTGCAATCACTTTCCATCACTTATATCCTCACCTTCTTGGTCACCTTCACCTCACCTTGGATTACCTTCTCCTACGGAAGAATTTGCTGCTGAAAATTTATTTCAGTTCTTCACAGAAAGTGCTGGCAGACCATCTGCAGTTTGAAGGATGCTGCAGTTACTGTCTTGTGCGTGCAGAGAGGCAGTGAACTGCATTATTTGAGTTGTTTGTAGACTTGAGATCTCAGTCCTGTTGTAGCTGACTCCTGATTTCCCTGGTGCTTCTCCCCAAACCCCATAGTCTTCTAGCATTAGGCGTTATAACGTAAGCTTTAAGAGTCACTTGGACCCATTTAATCTGGCATCCTTGTAGATGTTGTGGGTTGAAGATCGAAGCAGTGAAGCTTCCAGCTCTTTCCTCTTAAAGGTCTCGCATGTGGGAGCAGTTTTGAGAGGCAGAAAATGAGCTGCTGAAATTGCTGATGCTTAGCGATTTCGCGGTTATGCACTTGAATACAGGAGGAAGGTTTTTGCCTGGCAGGGTGTACTTGCTGATGTATTCCTGGCTGATTGCTGCAGCTGCCGCAAAGCTCAGTGCACCATGTTTCTTCTTTGTCCTCCAAACGGGAGCAGAAGAGGGGAGATGAGATGGGTGTTGTCAGAAAGGCAGACTATTCTAGCAGCTCCCTGTAAATAGGGAAGATGTGCCAACTAGAGTGGAAACTTGTGGGTGGAAGCCTGGGTTGGGACACCTGCAGATCCATGAGGACTGCAGCAGGATAAACTTGGAACAGGACTCTCCATCTCTCAAGGAGCTTGGTGGAAAAGCATTCTTTCTTCCTATTCCAGTCTGAGCTCCACCCTGCAAAAGGCAAACCATGATCCCTCCTCCTCTGCAGAAAATCTGAGTGTTTTCTGCCTGGGTAAAGGATACTCAGTGCCCTATACTGAACGTAAAGGATTAGGAGCAGTGCATTTACAGCAGCCTCAACCTGCCTGACTCTGGTGTTGGCTTCCATAAGCGAGCGTTTCCTCTTTGCAGGGCTGAGCACTGAATGTAGACCAGCCAGCACTGAACAGAAATAAACTCTCTGGAGGGAAATTCTTGCTTTGGAAAGTTAAGTCAACTCCCACTGATGTTTTTGGCTTTTCTTTGCCATACAAGAGGTAGCAGCACTCAAATGACTTCTCAGCAGTTTCCTCTTTGTTTTCTTGTTGAGGAGCTGTATGTTTTTCCTGGGTTTTGCACCCTCTGTCCAGCCTGGACAGTCCTCTGTCTACTGTAGAACATGGAAACATGTTAGTACCTAGCAGAGCTATGCTTCCAGGATGTCACCCTAGGGGAGAAGGGCTGAGGTTGTTATAGATGTATGCACAGCCAGTGAGAAAAGAAAATCCTCTATTGGGATGCCTTGGAGGATCTGAGGATGTAGATGCAGGATAGGATGAGTCTTATATGCTGTGGATCAGGATGTTTTGATTTACTTTTCCTTTTCAGTCTGAAATCTTTGCAGTTTCAAAAACAAATTGATTGTGAGGACTGTGAAGTGCATGAGCATTTTCTGCTGGAAGGGCCGAAGAAAGAATGTTGCTGTAGTAGAGATACCAATGGTTTAACACACAGCAGTTTCACAGTTGAGGAGTAGTTCTGTGTGCTGTGGAATTAATGAGGCTGATTTTCTATGGATCTGGGTCTTGTCTGCCCGACTGTTACCTAGCAAGGTGTGAGGTCTGGTGGCTTTTTATTCTGTAACATTTCCTCTTCCCATTGTGTTTGTATTGCACTTTTAAAAGACAGCAGCTAGATCTCTGTATGGACATAAGTGATGCTGCCATGAAAACTGTCAGCATTTCACAGTTGGCCCAGTACCCATAGGGTCGTGTACTGCTCAGCTGTGGGAGTTTTAGAGCAGAGTTCTAGGTTTTTTGTATGTTGGGTGTGAGGCCGTTTCTGGGTGTTTTCTTGTGTCCCACTCATTGCCTATGGTCCAGAGAACTCCCACTTGCCTGTTCCCCTGTTTACAACTGAGTTGGGGATGTGTTTCCTTATAAGCTGGAACAGGTGATGGGGCCATTTAAGCCTTTAGCAGTTATTACCTTGGGTTCTGTGGAGGAGGTAAGTGCCTGCTGAGCCTTCCTGGGAAGCTGTCTGGACTTGTTTCAGAGCAAAGGAGTGCTTGGCCAGACCAGGCAGCACTAACACCCTTTGGGCTGCCAACCTCTTTTCTCTAGGGCTGGGAGTTGTTGCATGTATCTTCCTGAGTCGTCCTCACCTGCAGAAGTCTGCATTAAGTGAGGCTTTCCTTATTGCTTTAGCACTTTATCCCACTCCAGGTGTGTTAGAAAGGTGGGAAAAGTATAACCAGGAGAACTGTTGACCAGAATACTTAGCTGCCAGTTTCTGGAGAATGAGTTTGGAAAATAGGGTATAAGTGGCAACCAACTCTCAGCAAACCTATTTTTCCTTTTGAAGCAGTAATCTATGTCCTCTGTCTTGACCTTAATGAGGTTTTGCATGCTATTCTTGTCATATAATCTTCTCCAAAGCAAACAGCATAAGTTATGGTCCAGATGAGACTGTTTTGGTATAAAATGCCCAATGTGCAGGGTTAACTTCATGTGGAGCATGACAGATACCCAAAAGTGAAAGATACAGTCAAGTATGACTCAGAATTGGTGCTGATGCTAGATCATGAAGTGAATGTGAAGTCAGCATTGTGACTTTGGGGGAGGATGACTCAGTTCTTGTTCAGAGGTGTGAATAGAAACCCAGTCTTCAAGAGACACGAGGTGTTTCTGCCCTGCTGAAGTAAGGTCTCCACTATGTGTCGAGGGTTTGCCCCTCTTTCTGAGGGGTGGATGTACATCATGGGAATAGATACCAAAGAAGAGTTGAGGGAGAGTTCAGGCCTCTAAAACAACTGGAGGAAGAGTGAGGCTAAAGAAGAGGAGATGAGTGGGTTTAATAATGAGCTGTATGTACTTAAAACAACTGTCCCAGTGCTGTTTGTCATCTTCAGTTTAAGTGCTGCAGTGAGGAGGAAGCTGGACCTTTCTATTGCTCAGGGCCCATTCCCCAGCAGCTCCCTTGCACTTGGGCAGAGTGCACAGATGAGGAGCCTTGCCAGAAACGGGAGCTCTTCTTTCTCTGTTCCTGTAGCTGGGACAGTATTTCTGTTCTCTCAGTTAAACAGGCACAGGGCAGCTGCCGAACAAAGAGCTCAAACTATGCAGAAGTGGGTCCAGCAGGAGGTCAAAGGCAGATCTGCTGGCAGCAATTCCCTCACTTTGTCCTGTGTAGCTTCTGGGCAGTTTGCCAGCTTCCTGGCAGTAGGGCCCCTGGGCACTCAGGTTGCAGAGGCCTCTGCCAGCTCCAGGTAGCGAGGGCAGGTGCTGCCTGTGCAGGGCATTGCGGGAGGCCGGTTTTGGAGTGACCTGATAGCAAGGTAGGAGGTGACTTTACTGTTGATTAAAGTGAGGAGGCTGCTGGGGTGGGGCCCAGCTGGTGGGAGAGTCTGTGACTGTGCTAGATGAGTAAGTCATGCAGCAGCCAGGGTCTTTCTATAAGGGGTCTTGCTGCCTCTTGTCTCTCAGCCTCTGGCCTGTTGTGTTTCCCTAGCTCCTGGGCTTTGTATGCAGGGATCTTGCAGCCATACTGACATTGTGGGTTGTAACACTTGGTGTTGCTGTGCAAAGGCAGTAGCTGGTACTTTCCCATTGTATATCTGGGGGGAACAGGACAGGGAATGAGTACAGAGTTCTTAGGCCATCCTGAGGAGTCCTTGGGGTGGCAGCAGGGTGAATGAAGATGGAAAAGCTGTTGGTGTTTCAAGTCAACACCTGCACCAGGATTATGTTAGTGTGACTGTAGCTGTTGGTGTATGTGAGCTTCCCCAGTCAGGCAGTGTTGTGGTGTTTCCTGCTGGTGGCATGTCCCTTAGTGCCACAGTGGCAGTTCTGTGCTGAAGCTGCGATCCTCAGGATGTACTCTTCTGGTCAGGCAATATTTTGGCACAGTAATACCACTGATGCCTCCCTGTCTGAGATGCTCTTCTAGGAGATTTTCCTTTGAGGAAGCAGAAAGCTTTGAGCTGGCATCCCTCCACTCTGTGTTCCCTTTCTTCTGCAGTCAGAAGAGGTGCTGAGCTCTGACAGCCTCTCTGCATCAGTGGTCTGTGGACAGAAGGTGTATAGATTGCAACCCCAGCTGCCAACCACAAATCTCTGCTCTTAAATGGTAGCTAAATTAGTCTTCCCCCTGCTGGGACTGTGGGGGAGTTGGAGGTCACTGGTTGTAGTCTTTTTGTCTCCTGTCCACGTGGGCCACCTGTGCTGGTTGCCAGCACTCCTGGCCACAAAAGCAGAGGCACGTGCCCTGACAGCTGCCTGCTGTCAAAGGGAGAGGGGAAGATGAAGGATAAAGGCTTAGAGTAGGCAATCAGTTAAATGCTGTATCTGACTGCTTGAAGGAGGTTGTGATACTTGTCTGGTTGTGGCTCTCTGAGTGCCCTGGGGCACTCAGGTTTTCTCTTGGTCTCTGTACAGGGCTGCAGGAGTAGGACTATGTCCACCATGGTATACCCAAGGGAGGAGAAACTGGACAAGCTGAGCCAAGAGGAGATAATTTCCAACACCAAGCTGGTAATGCAAGGGCTGGAAGCACTCAAGAATGAACACAACTCCATCCTGCACAGTTTGCTGGAGACCATCAAGTGCCTGAAGAAGGATGAAGAAGCCAATCTTGTGCATGAGAAATCCAACCTGCTCCGCAAGTCGGTGGAGATGATAGAACTGGGGCTTGGAGAAGCTCAGGTGAGAGTGTTGGGTGATCCCTGAGGTGTTATCTGAGACTGACAGAGGAAGGGTAGGCATGTGGCCATTTCCCATAAGCTGCAGGGGTGGGAAGGGACTAAATGTAGAAGGCTAGCATGGGTGGACCCTAAGCATGCATGTCAGGGAGAGACAAGATTGTGGTTGTTACTGACTGAGACTCTTAACAAGGTGATGATGGCATTGTCCAACCATCTGAACGCCGTGGAGTCAGAGAAGCAGAAGCTGCGTGCTCAGGTGCGAAGACTGTGCCAGGAGAACCAGTGGCTGCGTGATGAGCTTGCCAACACCCAGCAGAAGCTGCAGCGTAGTGAACAGACCGTGGCTCAGCTGGAGGAGGAGAAGAAACACCTTGAGTTCATGAACCAGTTGAAGAAGTATGATGAGGATGTCTCTCCTTCGGTATGCCCCAGCCTTTTGGAGCAGCTGCTTTTGTGGGTCCGGTAGAAGTATCTATGTGTGATAACATTGTTCTGGATTTTGCCCCTTCCCATGCACAGCACTGCCTGTAGCTAAAGGGGGCCTGCATGGGGCAGAGCCTCTGGATTTTGTTTTGTGGGGGGAGGATGGTGGCAGAGACAGCAGGAGAAATTGAGTGTGTTGTTGGGTTGCAGAAGGGCCCAGAGTTTGGTAACTGACTTGGCCCAGGCTGCTGCTGTCTCTGCTGAGAACGAGTAGTATTTGTGATTCTCATCCTCTCAGGAGGAGAAGGAGGGTGATTCCACCAAGGATTCTCTGGACGACCTGTTCCCAAATGAGGAGGAGGAACATGGTCCTGGATGTAAGTGTTTGCTCTTGCATGGGTGCTGCCTGTTTCTGTTAAAGCCTGCTTGGTCAACTGTGCCATGTTTATTTCTGTGCCCACAGTGCCCCACCAGCACAGCAGTGCCGTGGCAGCTGCCCAGCAGGGAGGTTATGAGATTCCTGCACGCTTGCGCACCCTCCACAACCTTGTCATCCAATACGCCTCCCAGGGACGCTATGAGGTAGCTGTGCCGCTCTGCAAGCAGGCACTGGAGGACCTGGAGAAGACATCAGGCCATGATCACCCTGATGTGGCTACCATGCTCAACATTCTAGCACTAGTGTACAGGTGAGCGTGGTAGGAAGGGCAGGACTGGGGCCAGACAGCTTTCTGCATCTCCTGTTTCCCTTTACAGCACATCCTGGGGCTCCCCAAGCTTCCAGCAGTTTGTCTTTCAGAAAAGTTTTGGCCTAGACAGGGTGCTTGGTTTGCCAAACTCCCAGATACAACTAGGGACTGACTAAAGCAAGGAGGAATGGAGAAATGAAAGGACTGTGAGGGCTGGGTCTGTGTGGAAGGAGTACTGTTCATAGTTCTGCCTGCTCTGGGCTGCAGTGTCCAAATCCTAAATAACTGGTTGACTTTGCACTGCAGAGATCAGAACAAATACAAAGAAGCAGCACACCTCTTGAATGATGCTCTTTCCATCCGTGAAAAGACTCTAGGCAAAGACCACCCAGCGGTGAGTGTCTCTCTGCTCTTTCAGTCACTTCTTCACCTTTGGGTGTTGCTGGGCACCCAGCAGTGTTTTACTGCTTCAGTATTTCCTGTTGGCTGGTTCAGTATGGCCTGTAAGGAGATGGCTTCTCTTGGATCCTGCAATATAGGCAGAGCAGCCTTCTGTCTCTGAACCTCCTCTTGAGAAGCAGCAGTACTCCAGGCATGGAGGAAATGGGACAGTCACTGTAACTGTTGCTTGTTTGGTCCCACTGGAATTTGCTTTGTTTCATGGAAATACTTCTGTCTCGGTAGGTGGCAGCAACTTTGAACAATTTGGCTGTTCTCTATGGCAAGAGAGGAAAGTACAAAGAAGCAGAGCCACTGTGTAAGCGAGCCCTGGAGATCCGTGAGAAGGTACGAGTCTTCCGTGTTCTTTTTCCTTTCAGCTCTCTCTGTGGGTTTTCTCCCATTACCTCAATGCATGTGGGAGATCAAGGCCTATCTAGTCTGTTCACCTGCTCATTCTGCCACCACCTTTCCTGTCTCTTCAGTGTTTGCAGCCCTAGAGAGGCCTGCCAGGAGATGGAAGCTGGAATTTCTCCTCCTTGCTTCTCCAGACCTTGGCTTTTGTCTGACATAGACATGTGCTGGGGGGACTCCAGTGTCTACTAACTCCAGGAGTCCGCTGCAGTCTTTGTGGCTTCTCTTCTTTTGTTCACCCAGGTTCTAGGCAAAGACCATCCTGATGTGGCGAAGCAGCTGAACAACCTAGCCCTATTGTGCCAGAACCAGGGCAAGTATGATGAGGTGGAGTATTATTACTGTCGGGCTCTGGAGATCTACGAGAGCTGCCTGGGTCCTGATGACCCCAATGTGGCCAAGACCAAGAACAACCTGGTAAGGCACTGGGGAGAGGCCATGTGGTGCTGGGGAGGGGTGCTATGGGAGAGGTGAGCATTGCCTGGTGCTTAGAGACAGAGCAATAGCTGCAAGAGGTGACCAGAGTTAATCTGTTTCCCAGTGGGGCTGAAGCTCTTTTGTTTTGGTTGCAGGCTTCCTGTTACCTGAAGCAAGGCAAATACAAAGATGCAGAGGTGCTGTATAAGGAAATCCTTACCCGTGCTCACGTGAAGGAGTTTGGCTCTGTAGATGGTTTGTACAGCAGAAGCCCTTGAAGCTGGGGAGGGGTTTCCTGGCTCTCAGCCTACACTTGTCTGGTTCTGGTGTTGCCCAGACTGAGGGATGGGATGCCTTACAGGGCCCCTGCTTTGGGCAGCCCTTGAGATGCTGCCATTCTAGTGTGTTGTGCTCTTCCCCCTCTTCTCTCAGGAGTCTTAACTCAGTCTTTACAGGGTTGGGAATAGTAAATGGCACAACCATGCTGAAGCATAGGCTGAAGTTTCTCCTGTGCACCTGGCACATGTACTTCTACTGGGGGGTCTTGTTCTTTCCTTCTCTTGTCCTGCCTTTGCAGTGTCGGTTGCCTTTCTTGGGACTCTGGGCCAGGGACTTGGGGGGGGACTGTCGTGTCACTTCCCTCTGATGAGGCACTAGCTCTGGGGACAGAGTGCTCTGCTGTACAGGAGGCAAACAGCAGCGTGGGGTGGTGAGTGGACCTGTTTTGCGTTCTTCCCCACACAGATGAGCACAAGCCAATCTGGATGCATGCAGAGGAGAGAGAGGAGATGAGCAAGGTGAGCCTGATCCCAGGGGGTTTGATCATTTCTTATCATAGCCTAACTCTTGTCTCCTCCTTCCTGGAGAAGCTGCAGTCTGAAGAGCTGCTAAGGCCAGGAGGTGTCTGGAGGAGGGGGGGATACAGCACTGCTGCTCCCTGGGCCAGCAGGGAGGGAAGACCCATCAGAGAGCAGAGTGTTTTTCGTGGGCAGGGCTGTTCAGTCTCTTGGCCACGGCTGCGTGCTCTCTCTGCTTTAGCGATTGATCCCTCTTGGGCATGCAGACGATGGAAGATGGCGGAGGGTTGTGCTACAAGGCCTTGGCACGCTGTTCTGAAGGGCTGCCAGTACCCAGAGCATAACTGGCTTTTGAAGCAGCTCTAAGACTGTCTAGGGAAAAATGGAGGTCAAGAAGAAACTGTTGCTGTCACCTTGCTTAGGAAATGGAGCCATATCTGAAAGAGGTCTCAGCACAGGGCGAGCCCTAGCTTGCCTCTGAAAGAGGATAGAAATAGACTTTGCTTGCCTTGGACTAGGCTGAAAGGCAAAGCTACTGTTGCTCCTGCAGCCCAGGCCAGTAAATGCAGCAGTCATGTCTTTGGTTTTGCCAAGTGTAAGATCCCATATGTTTTTTGGCAAGTGGGTGAAGCCGCAGAATGAAAGGTTCTGATCTAGTCCTCTGCCTGCAGTGGGACTCTCCTTTTCTTTTGCCCTCAAAGCAGGCCCCAACCCTTCAGGGTTCAGGCAGCAGTCTGGCAGGCTTGACTTAGTGGGACTCATCACTGATGAGTCCCATCGTGTCAGCCCTAAAAGCAGGGCACTGGCAGGTGCTTCCCACAGCATCCTGTCCCTTCGTATTGAACCACTCTGCATGGCTCCCAGTGCAGGGCACTCCTCAGCACTGTTCTGGTTGCTGTACTGCGAAGGCTCTGCTGCAGAGAATCCGTACTTGCTGCAGCACCATCCTGGAGAATTCCAAGCTGGAGTAGAGACCAGGCTCCCCTTGCCCCCTCTGGGATTGAGACTCTTCTGATGGTATCTTTGGAGAATTTAGGGTCAAATGTAGATAGCTGTAGTATGAAGCTGTGCTCCAGATAATGCAAGCTCTGCCATGGGGCAAGAGAGCAGGCTGAGAGACTCACAGTTGGAGTAAAAGATTCATTTTGCATGTGAGTCTTAGCCAAGGGCTAAGCCTCTTTCCCTGACTCTGGGGCTCCTGTCCCCAAGGCAACTGTACCTGTTCCCCATGGCAAAGCTGGGTTGGCATTCCTGTCCAGGCAGCAGCAGTAGTCACAGACCTGCTTGTAGTCCTGGCCCAGGAGCTGGGGCTGATCTGCTCTGCCTTGTGCTGTTTCTATATCTTCTGTTTAAAATGTATGCAATTCCTCTGACAGAGCCTGATTACTTCTGTCCCTTGCTCCTCTTTCCTGGCAGCAGAGGGAGGCCAGTTCATGCCATCAGCAGGGCCTTGGGCACAGCTGGCAGCCCTGGCCTTCAAGGCTTTATCTGCCAGAGAGGATTTGACACCTTTTGTATTAGGTTCAGACACCCTTTAGGGCTGCCTCTGCAGAAGAGATGTATTGAGTCCTGAACTCCCCTGTCCTTGGTGCCTGCCCAGGCTATGTAGGTCTGGTATGAAGAAAACTACATGTTCCTATGGCACAGGGAGACTCTGGCATGTGGGATAAAGAGCTGAGAAGTGCTGTGGGACTGAGTGAGAAAAATGGTCCCCATGGAGACACTTTTGGGCTGGAGGGTAACTCGTACTGTGGCTCCCTGCACCTGCTTGGTGCCATGGTCCTACAGACCCAGGGCTAGCAGCTACTGCCCTGCAGTGTGGGTTATCCAGATGTTCCTCCTTGAGCATCAAGCTCTGCCCCCTGTGCTATTGCTCTGGCCAGCAGCCCGTTTACAGCTGGCTGGGACAGGGTCAGCCAGCCAGCCAGCTTTGGGGTGCAAAGGTTGGGTATGGGGAGAGGACAGCTAACTGGGCTGAGCTGCTGTAGGGCAAGCCTGATCTTGTAGGCCAAAGGCTGGGATGTGGCTGGCTGATTGCTTTGCTAGTCCTAGCTGAGGGATTTAGTGTGCATGGTGATGGGCATGCCTGTGGGGTTTTGTCTCCCTTTTGCGTTTTGGTTAGGGTGTCGTGCCCTCCATTATGCCATGAGAATAGGCTGTGTTGTCCCTGCTGCCTTTGGTAAAATGGAAGGGGGTAAGGAGATGGGATTATGTTCCTTCCTGAAACTAGGATTTCACTTTTGCTTGTGGCCCAAATCTGTTGCAGCAAACATGCTTTTAACTTTCCTACCAGGAAACTGCTGGCCTTCATCATTGTATTTGCATATTGTGTTTCCAAAGGCCAGGCTGGTGCCGGGGTGCAGCCTGGGGTATGACCCTGGCATCCAGAGGGCAGTAGATATGGAACTAACAGCTCTCTTTTCTCCTCACCCTGTAGAGCAAGCACAGAGACAGCACTCCCTATGCTGAGTACGGTGGCTGGTACAAGGCCTGTAAAGTTAGCAGGTAAGAGCTGGTTTGTGGGCAGCTGTAGTCTCTGGAGGAGTGACCCCAGGGCTCCTGCTCACCTTCCCTCTGTTACTGTAGCCCAACGGTGAACACCACTCTGCGGAACCTGGGTGCGCTGTACCGGCGCCAGGGCAAGCTGGAGGCAGCCGAGACCTTGGAGGAGTGTGCAGTTCGCTCACGACGACAGGTAGCTCCAGAGGGACCTTCCCTGGTGTGGGGGGCATTGCAGGGCTTGGGGTGACAGATTATGGCACTGCCTTTGGTTGGGGTCTGGCGAAGGAGTCTACTGGGCCTCTCTAATGTTCTTGGTTTACGTTCCCGTGACACTAGAGGGTCTTGGTGGTTGGGGATGCATTTGTGCAGAGGTCCACACGTGCTTAGGTGTGTGGGGTGGTTCACGTGTGTGTGGATGGAGCAGATGTCCATGTGTGGGGAAGGCATGGCTCACTGAGTGCAGAAATACTGCAGCTGGATTAAGGCAGGTTACTGGGCTTTGTCAGCTACTGGGAAGAACTACACTTACTAGAATGTTTTCTTCGTGCTAATTTTTTTTGTCCAGAGGCAAAAAATACCTAGAATTTCTTAGAGTACCTCTTGCCTTAAACTCCTCTCAATCCTCAAATAATAAAGCAGGAGCTGTAAGCACCTAGCACAAAAGACTGAAGGACAGATGAATCCTTTATGCTTCAAAATGAGAAGGAAAAAAGCTTTCAGCTTTGGGGTAGCAAGCTGTTTTTCCACAGGGTTGGTTATGGCCTTGTGGGGTCTCATGGAGCTGGGAATTCAAACAGAGACTGCTAAGTGCAGGATGGCATTTGGCTCCATCCTGGTTGTGATAGGCAGTTTTGGCTGTGATGGGGCAATGGCCAAGAGAGGGAACAGGAACCAAGCACGGTTCTTCCTTATCCTTTCCTACTTGTAGGGCATTGACCCAATCAACCAGACGAAGGTGGTGGAGATCCTGAAGGAGGGGGATGGCACAGAANTGTGGGGTCTCATTGAGCTGGGAATTCAAACAGAGACTGCTAAGTGCAGGATGGCATTTGGCTCCATCCTGGTTGTGATAGGCAGTTTTGGCTGTCACAGTGGATTTCTAGAGGGAAGGAACACAGACAAAACACGGTTCTTCCTTATCCTTTCCTACTTGTAGGGCATTGACCCAATCAACCAGACGAAGGTGGTGGAGATCCTGAAGGAGGGGGATGGCACAGAAAGACATCGGAGCCTGGGGAGCAGCGTCAAGTACGAGAATGCCACAGACGGTAGCGAGGAAGTGAGTATGGGCGTGGAATGGAGCGGGGTAAGTACAAGACACCATCAAGAATGGCCTCAGCTGGCTGCCAGAGGGAAGGGACAGCCTGGCTGAGGGCTGTCCCAGCGTGGCCTGTCGTGGCATCCTTGTCTGCCTCCATTAATTCCCTGCACATTTCCTTCCCCTTTCTTGGCATGGACCAGGCAGCCCACAAAGATGTGTGTCTGGGTCTGGCTTCTGGTGTACAGAACAGATATTCGCAGCTGAGGGCTCCTGCTTACAGGGAGCTGCCAGGCCCTGGCAGTGCACAGCATGAATTGGTCCTGGTCTCCCCTTAATCTTAGGCTTGTAACCTTATTAACATCTCTTTCTGCTGCTCCCCTCTGGAGGCCCTGGCTGAGAACGTCAGCCTCATCTCAGACTCGCCCAGCCTGTGAGAGCCATTTGGCTGTCTATCCTGCCTTGTGCCACTGACGATGCTGAGCCTGGGCAGAGCTGTGTGTGATATGCCTGATGTGTCTGTGACTGACTGACTGCAGAGCACAGGAGTAGTCTGTAGCCAGCATCTTTGCTGTCTTCCTCTCCTGGTCTCATGCCCTCGGCAGGCTCTGACCAAGCAGAGGGGATAAAAGGCAGTTCTTTGCAGGATGGCAAGCTGGGCTGACCAGTGGAGGCAAGAGACTGGTGTTAGCTGAGATACAGACAGGGCAACCTGAACTTGTCTAGGCTTGCTCTGAGGCTGAGGGTGACTTTGGTCACTAGCACTGACTTCAGAGAAAGGTAGTGATCCAGGGCTGAACAGATGTCTTCTGTCTCCTGCAAGCAGAAGGATAGAGAAGAGGCAACAGGTGAGCCTGGTGAGTGCTTGGCTCAAGGGCTGCTAGAGCTGTTAATGCTTATGTTCCTTCTGCAAACTCTGATAGCATAGAGTAGCTGGGGTTGTTGCAGCCTGGCACAGGGGAAGACACTGAGCACACAGAGTCCTTTGCTGCCCCTTCACATCTGCTGTCACTAACCCTTCCCCACCTGGCTCTGGTCTATCCCCATCTGCATGAGCTCCCTCATTTCCTCTTTTTTTCTTCCCTGTTGCCATGACAGCCCTTCAACACCCAAAGCCTGAAGCCTGCTGGCTCTCTTGATTGTGGATTGTACGCAGGAGGTGGCTGAAGGAGATCTGAAAAACAGACCTTCAAGTGGACCCAGCAGCTTTACCAGATGCAGTGCTGACCTTTGCCATTAGGTCTTGGCATCAAGACCAAAGAGGGTCTTAGCTCTGGCAAGGCACCAGCTCTAGGCCCCTGCACTCCTCATTAGTAAGGGGGCTAGACAAGCACAGAGGGAGGGGCTGCGGGTTTGGATTGGAATCACCTGGTCCCTATGCTGGCTGGTGTCTTTCTGCAGCTCCTCCTGACTGTGCTTAGTGTTGGGTGATCTCTTTCCACTGGTGATGGTCTGGGAGATCTTCCTGACAGTCTGAGCTGATCATCCTAAAGCAAGTAGGCAGTGCCACCCTCTCCCACAGCCATTCCCAGGGAATAGTCCCTGCTCCCCTTCCCCAGGGGTCTTAGCAGGGCTTCCTTGATACTTTTACAGCTGTAAATAGAGGATTTGAGGGCTAGCCCAGCACCCTGGGGGACACAGTTGCTGCCACATGATTCCTTTTCCAGCCTGCTGCACGCATAGCCAGCCAGTCTTCTCTTCTGAGCCAGCAGTCCTGCACTGCACTGAAACTCCCTGCAAAAGAAGGCTGAGGCAGCTCCTGCTGCTCCTGTCTCTCAGGGCCTGTTCTTTTCTGTGTTGGTCCAGAGACCTCAGGTGTGCTACCTTAAAGCAGTTTCTGCTGCCCTCCCCTAGCTGTCCTCTGTTGCAGGCAGGGCTGTGGGAGCCCCCAGAATGCCCTGTGCCCATAGGCAGCTCTGTAAGCACCCCAGGGCCTGGACCAGCTTCTTGCTGCTCACATAACTGGGACGTGAGTACAGGAGGATGGCACCAGTTCCATGGTGCAGAGGCCTTGGCAGGTAACCAAGGCCCAGGAGCAGGGAGCCCTCAGAGCAGGAGACCCAGGCTGTTCTTCCCTGAGCTAAGCTGCTCCTGCCAGCCCACTAGCAAAGAAGTGAGGCTGCAGTTTCAGCCTCACAAGACTCTCTCCCTGCCCAGATATGGCCTGTGGTCTCTGCATGCAGCCTGGGCCTTGTCCTACCTGTTCCCTAGGTGACCTATAACCTCACAGCCTTGTAAATTGTGTCTTTCTCCTCTGTGCACTAGGCTTAAATGCCTCTCGAGACTCCCTCTTTCCCCTCCACCGTGGTCACCTCACCTGGATGTTTGTGTTGTATCTTCCGACTTTTCCTCCACATCATCCTTCCTTCCTCGGCGAGAACTCCATGCCAGACCCCCAGCCCTCCTGGCGCGCGAGGGTACCGCGACGCCTGCAGAGGAGTGCCTGGCCACATGGCCCAGCTTCAGTCCCGTGGCCAGCAAGAGCAGGAAGAATCTGCGAGGAGCTGCCAGCTCCTCCAGGCCAGGGTGATGGGCCGCTGTCCCTTTGCGTGTCCCCACCCCTGGCCTGCCCTTGCACATCCCTGGGGCCCAGGCCTGCGGGGGATTGTCTTCACTCCAGGCTTGCTGACTCCATTGTCACTAGACATCCTCAGCCCTCCTAGCTTGTTCCCTCCATCTCTAGAGGCTCGAAGATGGAGGGCTGTTATGGAGCAGTGAGGCTTGGCCTAGGCAGGGCTGTCATGTGCCCGGTTGCTTTCTTCCCTGTAGGCTTAGCTGATATGAGTGCCTTGTAGCAAACCTCTGCTGGTTCCCAGTGAGATGGGCTCTCTCTGCAGCACAGGGCAGTTCCCATTTTGCTACCCTCCTCCCTGCTGAGCTCAGTAACCCAGGAGCAGCGTGTTCGTCTCTGCAGGGGCACAGGAGTGTAGGGCATTCCATAGAGCTACTGTACATCCAAGATGAGGTGAGGGGGTAACAGCCAAGGACTATATACAGGAACTGGCCAGCACAAGCATGTTTGGCTGACTTCCTGACTGGATGCTATAGCCAGGTTCCTCATCCTGCATTAAGGGGTGAATCAGCTCCCCATTGCTACAGGGTTCTTAGGCATGGCTGGTGGGAGAAGTGGGAGTGAAGTTGTTTGCTGTTCATTGAAAGCAGAGGAGAAGGTAGGAGGAAAGGAGAGTTTTTTTGCAAGGGGCAGACCCCAGACCATTAGAAGTGGCTGAGATGGGGAATGGCCTGGATTGGAGCAGAGTGGTTGAGAGAAAAAGAAGGTGCAAAGATGGATGTGAGGAAGCAAAGGGCTAGGGGTTGGAGGTGCTCTGAGCAGGTGGGAGCAGATGGGATGGCTGGAGGGAAGTTGCTGCAGGGGTAGAGGCTGCACTTCTCACAGGTCTGAGGGATTGACTGTAGTCTGGCTGTCCCTAGCCAAGCGGGTGGGAAAAGTGTAACCCTGTTACCAACAGGGTCACAGTGGTGACCCTGTGGGAGTGGCTCAATGCCTCTAATAGCTTCAGGCCTTCACAGAGTCTGGTGCTGTTAGTCATTACTAGGATATGAAATGTGTCCCAGGGCCAGACCTCCATTATCGTGGGTCTCAAATCCTTGAGTGTACACGCTCATCCCACCTCCTATAAGAAAAGAACCTCCCTGGCCCTCCTATCTGGGAAGAAAGCTGGGGAGGTTGTAGGCAGCAGGATAGAGTCCAGGGGCTGGCCAGCACAGGACTCTTCCTTATTTATTTAGCTAGTTCCTTTCTTTATGCTAGTCATCTGTCAGGTTCTGATACTAAATGTGCTTGTGTCTGTCTGGGCCTGGCTTTCCTGTGGTGGTGCAGAGCCTTGGGGTACATGCATGCTGCTCTCCTGGGAGCTTGTGCTTACTGAAAGGAAGCTTGTCCTCAGGACCACGGGGTATGGAGCCCAGGGCTGAGTGCTGCAGGGCTGTACCTTCCCTGCCTCACTGTCCCAGTGCTGCTCCATCCTTCTGGAGAATGGTGAATTTCCAGTGCAGGGTGTGTTTGAACCTCAGGGCCACCTACCCCTGTGCTTTGCCATGTCCTGGACCCGATGCTGTAACAACCATTCCTCTAATTAAAGGTAGACTGACCCAAATCGCTGCCCTGTGCTTCTTTCCATGCTCTGTAGGCCAGCGTCGGTCAGCCCTGGGGTGGTGGGTGCAAGTGCTACTGGAGCAGGTCTGAAGGTGCTTAGTGTCTGTGTGTGTACAGGGGCATGTGCTGCCCCCAGGGCACCCCTCCCAGGCTGAGCTTTAGAAGTGAAGGACCAGCTCCACTGTGCTTTTCCCTGTCCTCCATATTGGAGTTGCTGCTAACCTTAGCTCTGTAACCATGTGTGGCAGGGCTGCCCTGCGTCATCTGAGCTTGGACCTTCCCCAGGAGGCATTTCTATTTACCCAAAGAAATACCCCATTGTGTCCCTCAGTGCTGAACTCTACCAGCCCAAGTCCTCTGCCTCCATGCATTAGGCAGGGTGGTAGCATGCTGTGGAGAAGAGCTCAGTGGTTGAGCTGCTTTGGGTTTTTTTTGGTTTTTTTTTTTTTTTTGAATGCTCTCTTCCTGGTGCATGCAATGGGGTAGGGGCTCTGCGGCAAACCAACCCCATAAATGTTCTGTAAATGTTCTGGCTTAAAAATAACTTGTCAGAAAAGGGAGTGGGGGGAGAAGAGAGGCTATTTTTAATCCAGCACGCAGCAGCATTTGGTTCTGGTGTTGGTCTGCAGTCGGTCTGCATCACTACAGCTGGGAAAATGTGGCTCCATCCTCCAGCCCTGATACAAGAGCTTACTTCCTGGCCTGATCCTGCTGCCCTTGTACCATGGTCCTGCCCCCTGTCCTAGCTGTGTTCCCTCTTCTACTCCTGGCTTGTGTGCCCTGGGAAAAGCAACAGTGCCTGGCATTACAGTACCCTGCAGGGAGAGTGGTGACCCAATGTAGGTCTGGTGGGGAGGCAAAAGACACCTCCTTACCTTTGCTGATGCTGCACTGCACACTGATATTCAGCTCATCCAAAACCTGCCCAGGATGCCTCGTACAGGAATTGTTTACATGGCTGCTTTGGGTGCTCTTAATTTCTGGTGAGTGGGTCCCTTTGCAGCAGCAACACGTGGCTCTCAACTCGGAAAACTCTCATCTCAATGAGAGTGTGAAGAGGTTCAATGCACTTGTTTTATCAAAGAAAGGATGAATACCAGGAGAAAGGTTTGCTGGTAGGAAAAGTCCTGGTCAGCTGTTAGAGAACAGTCTAGGACTGGATCAGCTTTGGGTAATCAAAGGAGCACTGGAAAAGCCTTCCCCAAGTGCCACAATCTGTAATGGTCAGCACCAAGAGGTGACTGGCCTAAGGCAGAGACCCTGCCTACCTGCAGAGTTGCTTGGGCAGTGCTGAGGTAATTGCTGCTGCTAGCCTGAGCCACAAGGCATTTTGGTCATTTGGAGTGCGTCAAATCTCCTTAAGGAGTAAAAGGGCTTTTGCTATCACTTTGCCTCATTTTTTTCTGCCCCAGTGTTCCAGGGGCCATTCCAAGCAGGAGCAGGGAAGACTGCTGTTACCAGGCCATCAGAGCAAAAGTAATTCCACATCAGCAGTGGTGCCACAACCTTATGTAACAAGCAGGCCAGGCCACAGGGGAAGAGCTTGGTGGCAATGATTACACGGTGGCATGGTGTGGTGTCATGCTGGTGTATTGGTTTGAAAGCAAAACCAGTGAGAGACTCCAAGTCAGTAATACAATTTAATAGGAAAAAAGAGAAAAAATAAAATACATGCAATAATACAAAAAAAAAAAAAAACCACTGACAGAGTCAGAATACAACCTGACACCCTGTTTTTTTATCTAGGTAGGAAAGGCTTGGCTCCTGCCCCTGGCTGGAGCATCTCCCAATGGGATGATGTAATCTTATCAGTCATACATTAGGACTTAATGGCCCATTAACAGAATATATCTTCTGGAGGAAGGATGGGTTGTGAAAAGATAACGATCATCATCCCCCTGATTTTATCAGATGGCACATCAGCAGGGGCTATCTCCCACAGAGATAAGGATCACCACCCCTCCCCCATTTCAACAGATGGTGATAGAATACACATTTTTGCATTGTACCCCAGGACAGCTGGCAACCTCTGCCTTGCATGTGTGTAGAGCAAAGTGCAAGAGGTGGACTGGAGCCTGTCAAGGGCTGAGAGTGCCTCACTGGGGACTTCTGGAGGCATGTGGGAGGAAATAGGCTTGGGAACAAGATTGCAGCCTGATTTTGATCTTCAGAGAAAACAAGCAGATGTGAAAAGCCCCCTGCAAAGTGCCACCTCTGCACGCAGCTAAAGTTGCGGGGGCTAGGAGTAGTGGTATCTGCTTGGCAAGACAGCACTGGTGTATCCAAATTAATCCATCCCCAGTGGAGCTGCCTGAATTGCTCCAATGGCTCAAAGCTAATTGTCTTGGCGGTGTTAGAGGTGGGACAAGGCTGCGTGTGCAATGTGAAATGGTCTTGTGTGATGTAGGACCAGGGTGTGCATCTGTATGAGTGCTGGACAGAGAGGAGGAATGGTGATGGTGTGGTGAAGAAGGGCAACGGGAGGGGGAGGATGAGGATGGTCTTCAGCCAGCAGCAAGGGAGGAGAGAGTCCTTGAGATGAAGCCCCAGAAGCCTGGGGCCTGTCCTGGCCTGAAGGACAAAGTATACAAAAGTATCTTGGGACTCCCAACAGGGCTTGTTACCTCCCTGGCCACGGGGACCTCCTTGAAAGTTGCTGCCTGAGCTGTTGCTGGTGATTGGGCTGTGTCATGTTCGAGCAGGACTGTGTGGATGTCAATGCCAGTTGTGCTGGGGGCCTGGGCCAAGTCAGAAGCCTGTGAGTGTTGAGCTTGCACTGGGCAGGAGGGAGTATCAGGTTGGATGAGCCAGACGACAGCAGCAGGGGTCCTGACTCCATGGTTATTGTGTCCTGTGGAGAAACGGGTGAGGGGAAGAAGCCATGTAGTGAGCAGTAAGCATGCTATGGGCCAGGGCTAAACCCTCAGTGCAAGTGGCCAAGAGGATGTTTGGAGCCAGTTCCAGCCAGTCATCAGCAGCATGCCAGAGCCTGATCAGTGCCACTCAGCCGTCACCCTGGCTTGTGTCTCTCTGTCCAGGATGGCAGTGGCACTCTCCAGCGCAGCAGCTCCCTGGGAAAAATCCGAGATGTGATACGGAGGAGCAGTGAGATGTTGGTCAAGAAACTGCAGGGCAATGGTCCCCTGGAGCCCAGGAACACCAGGTATGTGCGAGAGTCAGGCTGCATAGAGGGCAGGTGGGGGCCCTGCCACCTTGTGTGTCTGAGTCTGACCACTCACAGATTGATCGCATCTGCTGTCCTCTGCTTTCTTATAGCATGAAACGAGCTGCGTCCTTAAATTACCTGCACAAGTCTAGTGATGCTTCATTTGAGGTAAGCACAGTGTAAGTGGTGGGGCTGGTACAGGACTGTGCATGAGGTTGGGGACTGTGTGCCCAGTGGTGCAGGGGCCAAGGGGCATATTACTGGGTTTCAGGTGCAGTGCTGAGATCCCCTGAGCTTGTAGCCTCTTGTCTGTCAGAGTTCCAACTCTGAAGGTGTTGTTTCCAAGTACCCACCTTCCTCCCTACAAAGCTCGGCCATAGATTTGGAGCAAAGGCAGCAGCTACTGTGTGTGACAGCAGCACCAGGGCTGTCCTGGCTTGCAAGACAAGGGCTGCAGGAGTTGGGGTGGCAGCTTTGTAGCATGGAGGTGGATTGCAGGTACCTCATGGGCATTGTATTTTTTGCAGGGCACCCAAGGCCTCCGTGCGGAGAGCAGAGGCCTGAGCGCCAGCAGTATGGACCTCTCCTCCCACAGCTCCCTGCTGTCCTCCAACTGAGCTGGCTGCTCTGCTGCTGGGCACCCTGGCTTCACACTGCACGGGGCAGCACCCGGCACCTCCCCACCACCACCTACTGTGTTCTCCCCATTACCAGGTCTCGTGTCACCGTCTGCCTGCCCAGCCCGGCCTCCCCCGGGGGTCCCTAGCTAGTTCGGGCACCGCAGCCCGCCCGCATGCTCCTCTGCTGCTCACTGGGGCCTTCAGCTCTGGTGGCCGCATGCTCGGTACCGGCCACACACGCTCGCCAGGTAGAATCGCCAGCCCGGGGACGGGGACTGTCCTCGGGCCAGGACAGCGGCGGGAGTGCCCCATGCCCCCGGTCCCCCGCCGGATGATCGCTGTACTTTATTTTATTAAATAAAACCGACCCTAGAAGCCACCGCGGCTCGGCCTGACGGGGACGGGGCGGGGGTGGGCGCCGCTTGCCGGGGGGACAGCGGCAACACGGTCCGCCGGAGCGCCAGGGGGCGCGCTCCTCCGCTCGGGGCCACGCTGTGCCGCCTCGGGGCGGTCTCCGTCCCGTTCCCGGCTGACGCGATGGCGCGGATCACGCTGGAGGACCTGGAGCGGCTGGGCGAGGAGCCCGCGGCTGCCGACAGGGACGGTGGCGACAGCGAGGACGACCAGGAGGCACGGCTGTTCGCCCACTGGGAAGCCGTGGCCAGCACGCACCGAGTGAGCCTGCCCCGAGGTGAGCGCCGGGCCTGCTGGGGCTGCGATGGCACGGACTGGGACTCCTGCGCTGCGGCCGGGGCGAGCCTTGTCTCTCGTGTGCTTTGCCTTGCAGACATGGCAGGCCCGATCTCCCAGATGGTCCGGCACAGCCAGGCTCGCGAGCCCGTGCCGTACGTGTTCCTCTCACAGCACGGGAAGGTGAGGCCTGACCCTCTTCGCACACCTAGCTTCTCTCCCGCTGCCCGCCCGTGCTGGGACTGCCTCGGGTGCTGCTCCCAGCCCGGGCCGTAGGAAGAGCCTCTCCCTGGCAGGGAAGGTGCCTCGTGTCGGCAAGAGCACGTTAGCCTCTCCGGGGTTCCTGCAGCACCAAGGCCAGGATGGCACCTCTGCATCGGTGCCGTATTCCGCCACTCCTGCACCTCCTCCTGTGTAGAGTAATGGCAATGCTCAGCTTCCCGGCCTTTATTTTAAAATTGGACAAGTCGTGCTGCTTTCTCTGGCCTTCTGATTTCCAGCTGCTTCCTTTACCAGCCTGTCCTCTTGCTGGGGTGGGCACATCTAAGAAACTTGCTAAGAAACTTGCTCTGAACTTGCAGTTCAGAGCCTGCTCCCTGCCATTCTCCAAACACCTTGTTGCATAGCTCCAAGTCCTGTTGGCTTTGTGTTTGTGCTGGTTCTGTTGGCTGGTTGAGCTGGAGATTTCAGCTGGCATAAGATGTGTCTGTGGAGAATGCAAGGCCTGAGACCCTGGCTCTCAGACGGGAGTATGTGTTGTTATTTGTCTCAACCACCAATCCAAACATGGTACCTTTTGCCTGAAGATCTTCTCTTTGTGCTGCACACTTACTTTAATCTCTTGCACAAGAGGGTACTTCTGTGCTTTGAGAAATAACTGCTTGTCAGACTGGTTCTTGTGTCTCTGCATTGACACATGGGCATGCTACCAAGACATCTGTCAATTGTCCTCTATATGAGAAATGGTTAACCAATTTCTTCTGGGCTGAGGTCCAACACGCCCTGTAAAACATGTTTGAGCATGTGGCTTCTACAGCTCTGAGCTGGGGTTTCACCACACTCTCTTTTTCCTTGTTCTGGGTCCCAGGGTCTTAATCTGGCCTTTTCTCTGCCTGTGTCAGTCCCAGGCAGGAATGGGGACCCACGACTTTCTGGGAACTGGAGATCTTTTGTTGTTGGCATCCCATCTGTGCCTGAGGAGGATTCTTGGAGCGTGAGGCTGAGTGAGAAGATCTACTGCCTGACATCAGTGCTGAGGGGACTTTGGAGCTGGGGCTCCTAGGGACACATTTGCCCAGTCAGGCAGATCAGTAGGATTCAGTTGCTTTTCCTGAGCTACCAGTGCTACAAGCCCTCATCCTCTCGGAGGCAAGTGAATTATTATGCCACCTACAGCACTCTGCTCTGTCAGCCTCCAGCTCTATTGGGGCTCAGTTCCCCAGCTCACATTGCAGGGACCTGTTGCTACTGTGTCTGCATGAAGCATCTTCCATATTTCTTTTGGACAAGTGTAATCCAGAGTAGTGGTGCTTAGTATAAAGATCAGGCTGTGGCACAACCAGATGCTGTGACTTCACTGGGTTGGTTTGTTTATTGCAGGTGGTATATGGTGGATGAGAGTTGCAGATAGAGCAGAGGGATTGGCGATTTCCTTGCCTGGAAAACGCTCTTGCTCTGCTCTGCTTTGCTTGGTGGGACAATGGCAGGCATGGCCCCAACTAGAGGGTGAATGCCCACAATGTTTTGGGGCACTCATCCCACTGATGCACACAAACAGGCCTCCGTGGAACAAGTTTGTCTCATGACCGTTTTGATCTGGATGAAGAACAAGCTGAGAGTAGGAAGATAGATGCTGGTTACAACTTCCCAGCCCCTGTTAAGGTTACCTGTGGTCACAGACAGCCATGAGCTGACCTATGAACATACTCAGATGCAATTTCCCCGCTCCCCTTGCCCCCCTTCTTTGTCAGGTTTGTCCAGAATACTGGACATGCTGTGTTGGAAATAGAGATTTTGAGCCATGCCACAAAATTACACAGCTTGGTTCATGTCTCTTCTTCTTCCTGTCACTTCTTAATGTGGGAGAAGGATCTGAGGAGTTTTATTCCAGTCTTCACAACTCTTCTGGGTGCTAGAGCTCTTCTGCCAGATTTTCCTTTCTACTGGACAGGGATGTTTCTGTTATCCTCTGTGCAAGCAGTGTTCCAGGGAAAAGGCACTGCACCTGACAGCAACATCAGCCTTACTGAAGGCCTTTGGGTGCCTGGAATCAAGAACATCCTTGTGGGTAGGCTGGACAGAGACCGAAGAAGAGCTGAAAGTCCTGTGCCCCTTGCTGAGGATGTGCTGCATTCCTTGTGCATACCAGGAGCCTCCAGACTCCCTTGCACCCTGTCCCTTGTCTTTGCCTTTCGTTTTGCTGACTTCTGCTGGCCTTTGCCCAGTGCTCATAACTATCCTTATCTGAGGTGCATGTGATGCTAGCTCCCCTCACCTTCTTTGTCCTGTGCTGCCTAGCAGGAGCTCTCCTTTTGGCAGGCTTATGTCTCCCCACTTCTTGCCTGTCAGCGTTGGTTTTCCACCCAGCTGCAGCAGTGTTGTCAGTGTGCTCGACTCTGACTTAGCTTGTCTGTGGCCTGTTTCAGTGTGAGGAAGTGGCCTATGAGGAGCGGCGGTACCCAGCTGGGAAGTGGGCCTGTGTTACCATGGGGGAGCCCATGTATGAGCAGAGCATCTCCATGAGCTTCATGAAACTCATGCGCTACATCTGCAAGGAGAACTCTGTAGGTGTGTGCAGGCAGGGGATGGAGGGGCTGGCAGACTGCACAGAGGGGAGGGCTTTGCTACTGTGTATCTCGAGGGGGGAGGAGGGCTGCTACTGCTGCTAACACACCTGTCTCACTCCCTGCCTACCTCTTTCCAGGTTGCCATCTGGGCATGACAATCCCAATCCTCAACGAAATCCACCTGACCAAGGAGGGGACTGAGCTGGAGCGTGAGGTCCTAACTGCCTATTATCTCCCAGGAGTGTTCCAGCAAAACCCCCCTGTTCCCATGGACCCTGAAATCCACATTACTGAGAGGGCACCACTCCGGGTTGTAACCAGGTGACCCCAGCACCAGAGGTGTTTTCTCAGCTCAGCAGAGATGTACAAACTCCCTGCATGGCTGTTGTGGTTTGTTAGGCAGAGGGATGGGAACTGTAGCTGTGGGAATGTGCTGGCTTTGTTGCTTACATCTCCCTTGGCCTGATCTCCCTTTGCTGCAGGGTTTTCTATGGGATGACCACTGAGGAGACAATTCTGCGGGAGATTAGTCTCTTCTGGGAGCTCTTGGGCTCCACAGACATGGTGCTGCGGGAAACCTACATCGTGGCTTCTTATGAAAACCCCAGCATCCCTCAGCGCCGCAATGAGATCTGGTTCATCTGCCAGGCCGAGTGAGTCTCCTCCATCACTGCAAGCCAGCACATGACTGGACCCGGTGTAGATGGCAGCTCTGATCCAAAGGAGATGGAGCACGTCCCAACCCACTATTCACACACACAATGAGACACCAAGAGACTGTGAGGTTGGTTTCCAGCCTTCCTTGCAAGGGTCCTGCGAGGGGAAATCCTGCCTGGTCTGCACTTCACCTGCCCCCACAGCTGAGGCTGGAGCTGGCATCAAGGATGACCTCTAGAGCAAGCTCTTGATGGGAAGCACATGGTGGGGTCTCATTAAGGCAGTAACCACGTGGGCTCATGCGATGTACTAGCCTGACCTGCACTGGGCTTACAGAGCTGTGCCAGGGAGGTTAGTGGTGGACAGCATCACAAGGTGATAGTGTCTAGAAGACAAATGACTGTGCACAAGATGTGGGGCTCAGTGTAGCCCCTGGCCTGCTTCCTGTCCTGAACAGAACCACTGAAATGCTGCTACAGAGAGAGTTGGGTTCAAAGGGGAAAAGGGCTTGGATTCAGATGTGAATCCTGCATGTTTCCTGCTGGGGTGGTTCTCTTCGGACTGTTGGGTGCCTCCCTGGCTGTCACTCACCATTCCTCAGTTAAGACTAAGGCACTGGCAGCCTTTTTCCATCTGTTGTGGGTGCTGTTTTGCAGACCTGCTGTGAGCTGAAGAGGGGCAGGTCCAGAGAGCAGCAGCAGCGGCACCACTGTGTGTTGTGTTGTGCATGATTAGTGAGTTTCACATCTATGAATACCGTCCTGCTTTCCTGGGGGAAGCTGCTGTGCTAACAGTAAATAAACCCAGCTCAAACCACTGCAGCTACAGATCACTGACGGGGGGCGGCTGGGTTGGCTTGGGAAAAGCCTTGCTATCTCCTTCCTGGAGATGCTCCAGGCTGCAAAGCCGTGGCTAATTAGAAGGCCTCTTGCTTCCTGTTTAGCCAGCACAGCCTCTGCATTACTGCACAGGCTGCTTTCTGTTGCTGCTGCAAGAACTGGGCACACTCTCCTGCAGGTAAGGTGGTTTGTCTGTTGGATGGGGTCTGCCTCATTTTTCTCTGGTTGGATACTGTGACTGTACTCCATGTGAGCACCTGATCTTTGGGGGTGAGAATTCAGATGCAACTGCATGTCATGCTGGTTGGCGGCAGAAACTGGTGCATTCCTGCAGAGAGTGCTCAACAGCCTTGATGTGGAGAGCCGTTTAACTGCTTCTGATGCAGTTCCCAACGAGTTTCCCCATGCTGTATGCCTTGCTGCCTGCCACTGTTACTCAAACTCCAGCTCTGGCCCTTTGTCCCTACAATGCAGCTGGGGGGTAGGAATAGTTGGAAGGCCTGGCCAACTCTGTGGTCTCGCTGCTCAGCAGAGCAGGTGGCTTCTGCCACTCCTTTCTCTAGTCAGATGACGCTCACTGTCCCCTCCAGGATGAGTAAAGGCTCCAGCACCCTCTTTGATGGGTCCAGCAGTGCTTGGGGCCATGTCTGATGGTGAGTCTTCCACACAGTACCAAAACCAGTATTTGGAGGCTCAACAAACCGGCCAGAAAGGTGGTGTTCAGAGTGACAACTGCCAGAGCCGGTGGTGCAGGGCTGCAGCAGGTTCCACCAGAGGCATTGGGTCCAGCAGAGAGGCTCCAGTCTGGGCCATGCAGATGGCCAGACCAACTCTTGCTGCTGTGCGTCAGCTAGGGCCCTGCCGAGGAGCAGCAAGGAGCAGGCAGGGTGCTGTGCATTGGGACTGTGTGTCCAGCCCTCCGCTCATAGCAGGGTGTGAAGCTCCTGGCTCCTCACTGCCCCGGTGCCTTAACAGGGTCTCTCACAGCGGTACAGACCGAGAGCTTCTACCATAGGTTTAACAAACATCCCGGCTACAAGGAACGCCTGGCCGGGAGGAGAGCTCTGTCGCCTCTTCGCTGCTCGGAGCACCCCGGAGGGGCTGGCAGGAGCTGGAGGGGTGCGCAGGAGCCCAGCGCGACCCTCGTCGCCCCCCGTGCCAGCGGGGCTCTGCGGGGAATGGCGCCAGCGAGCCCCGAATCTTCGGCACCGCGGTGGAAGCACGCTGGGCCGAGCCCGGCACTGCCCCCAGGAACCCACTCCTCCCGACCCCGCCCGGTTTCCGGTGGCCGCCCCTCCTCCGGAACCCCTCCTGGCGACGGCGGGCGGGGCGGCGGCGGCGGCATGGCAGGGGTCTGGCGGACACGCTGACCGGCGCGGGGGATGGCGGCAGTGCGGAGGATGGCGGCGGTGCAGGCACTCCTGGTGCTGGGTGAGTGCGGGCCGGGACAGCCACCGGAGCCTCCCCCTCCCAGGGAATGTGGGTTCCAGTCCTGGCGGCGGGGCGGGGGTGGCGGAGCTCCGCGCCTCGAGTTCGTGTCTGGGCCGTACTGGGGCCGGCGGGCGGGGGTCTACGGCTGGCCCCGGGGATGAAGGTGGTGCGGCTGCGTCCGAATCTCCAGTGGTCTGCGTCCCCCCGGCTTCGTGTGAGCCCGGCGGCGATGGTGCCCGCTCGTCCTGCCGGAGTTGGGTGCGGAGCGGGGGCTACATCGGTCCCCATCTGTTCGCCCCCGGGGCGGTCGTAGCTCCCGCCCCGCGCAGCCCTACTCCGGGACGCCTCGCTCGGCTCTGCTTCCCTGGCGTGCGCCGGCTCGCCCTGTCCTCCCGCCCGCTCCGAAGGAGGAGCGCCGAAATCCACAGGGATGCAGATATGCCAGACGTTTGCTGTTTGTCTGAGAGACTGCGAACAGGCGCTCCCGGAATAGCGAGCTCCGGAAAGGGCTCCCGGAGACCCCTTGAGCGGGGCTTGGCTCCGACCCGCGCCCCTCCGGCCCCATGAGCAGGGCTGACACCGGGAAGGCTGCGTGGAGCAGCGGGTGGTTTTTGCTATGAATTCTGGTCAGATCAGAACCCGGAGGAAAAGCAGTGAGCACGCTGTGAGTTCCCACCCGTGGAGATTGTCCTCCCGGTCGCTGAGGGGTTTTTGTCCCTTGCTGAGCGCATCTGGATGAGCCCTCTGCCCCGCCCCCCGCGCCATCCTTTCTAGCCGTTCCTAGCTGTGCGGCCGCTTTGATTTTCCTGGCTGCTACTTTTCATAGTATCCAACTGCAAGGCCTAAACTCTCCTCTCGCTCTGCTCCGTAGTGTTTCTCCCCACTGACGTCCTAGCTCCATTTTCCTTGTCTGAGGAGCCCAAGGTCTTGGCTATGAATGAGAACCACGGGGGCTGTGAGCTGTCTTCCAGCCTGGCTTTGAAGGGTCCCACGGCTGCCCCATGCCACATCACCTCGCTTCTTCACTTAGGAACCCTGCCAGTAGCTGTTTGCAGTCCCTTCTGTCTCACCGTGCACAGTTGTAGAGTTTGCTTTGCAGTTTCTGTTGTGAAATCAATAACAACCTTAGTTTAGCGCCTGGGTGGAACACTGCCTCTGAGGGAAAGATATCTACAGCGCTGCTGCCTGCCCATATCTGGAGCCCGTGGCTGAGCCCTGCTGCCAGGCGGCAAGTATTGTCCAATTTACAGCTGATAAGCACGAAAAGCAGCACTTAGTTAGCTGATTAGGACCGTGATTGCCTTCCGTTTTGGCAGCCTTCTGGGAAGGCTGTTTCTGGCAGGGGAGTGTATGCTTAGCTTGGGCTCTGGTTTGAAGTCATAGGGACATACTACAGCATTCATGTACATGCCAGCAGGCCACCACTGGCAGCTGGAATGTGCAGATCTGCCAGTGAGGGCTCTGTGCTGCCTTTCCTGCCACTCTGCAGTTGCTGGAGTTTCTGTGCTGCTCCAATCAAGTACACTCCCCCTTGTTTCCCTTGCTGAGCAGGAACACATCCTACAGTACTGGGGGCAACATGCAGCTGTCCTGCTTGCAGACACTGTAAAAAAATCTCAGGCGCCATCAGTGTAGCCAAAACGTGCAGTTTGATGTCTCAGTTTTACGAGCTGTATTAAGTTTTGTGGGCTGCAGGGCAGTGTCTCTCTTTGCCTGTGGATGCTGTTTGGAAAGAGCACTGGAGAAAGACCTGGGAGGTGTGGAGTATCCATGGCTCTACACAGGTCCTTTGCCGTGTATGTGTTCCAGAAGTGCTCAGTGCCTGGACTGCTCGTCCCTCTTCCTCCACTTCCGTTGTTCAGCGAAGCTGTGATCTTTCCGACAGTGGCACTGTAGCATGCCAGATGTGTGCTGACTTCTGCTGGAACATGTGATCGAAATGCTAGCAGAGGAAATATTTGCTGAGTCAACTTTCCTTTAAAGCAAAAAAAAAAACCAAACCAAAAACCCCAAAAGGTCTATTTTGTTCTCGAAATGCCTCCATGTTCTGTGTTGAGCCGTGTGTTTTTCTCATGTTTCCTAGCAAGTCTGGTCTTAAAGAAGAAAATTTCTGGAAATAAGAATGATCTGATCCCCCTTGGGACTTGGCTGTGTTCAGACAGTGCTCCGGGCAGGCTGGAACCTCGAAGTGGCAGGAGCTTCAGAGGCATGGCAATTACATAGGCACTTCTTTGTCTGCACAGTGGGGTCCAGAACCATTGGGAACTGGCACTGGTCTGTCGTGTTTAAAGATCCCTTAAAGATGTTTTCTGAGCTCTTAATTGACCTGTAATGTGACCGTCTTCTAAAGGCAGATGGGCAGATATTTAAACTGCACCTGTGTTTAGTTTCATGCTGGGTGATGAATGTTCTTGCTGATGGGAGTGGCTTTTCTCCCAGTCTGCTGAATCCCTCTTGGTCAAGGGAGGTGAGGGGATGGCAGCTCACATCTGCTAATTGCGCGGATAATAGGTCTCACTTTGTTTGGCAAAGGCTGGTTCGTGCTGCATCCAAGCAGATAGGCATGTCCTGGGAAGGCAGGCTGCACTTTCTCTTAAGGCCATGGAGCTCAATGGGAATGGAGGGAAGAAGGTAGGAAAGGGATAAGAGGAGAAGAGCCTCACCTTGAGGCAATGGGCAAGAAAATAGGGGCCAGTTTGTCTGTAAGTGATAAGGCACTTCAAAAAGATCTGAAGTCTGTGAGGCCAGGTTACAGGTATTTACTAAAGGATCTTTACGCTAATGTTTTTCTTGCCTTCATTTCAATTCATCTGCTTTTTAAATTGCAAAGATCAAAACTGTATTCCAGCAAGCACATGTGGACTAAAATAAGTAGCAGGACCTAGTACACCTCTTCCTAGTGAATAAACACTCTTTCCTCTCTGAACATTTTCAAGCATACCTCTCAGGCCTGGAATGCAAAATATTTCACAT